CTAAAGCAAAAGTTCTAAGTGCATTCAAATCCGTTAAAGAGTTTGTTAAAGTTTGGTTTTTTATGACTTATCGGCGTTAACAATATAAGCTAATCATAATAACATTCCTCAACACTTTGCGATCCGTTTTTCTTTTGGTGTTTAATGCATATATATTATAATTTCTTGTAATTTTCCTATACTATTTTGCTCTTGTAATTTTTCTTGTACATTTTTATTTGTAATTTCCTATTTGTTTATTATTGTTATCCTGTTATATTGTAGAAATGTTATTCAATTGCAATGTGCGAGCGCAGCGGCAGCTATTTTCATCAGTCCATCAATTAAACAATCAATGTATGTGCCACTTAAAGGCTGCATGCGCACACTCAGCATTATTGTCTGCCCGTCACCGAAATGCATTTCGTTCACATTTCGCTGGCTCGCAGACAATGTGCGCCTGCGTCCTTGCAACTGGCACATGTTGAACACAATGTCTGTTGTTGAATATTTGAACTCGAAATCAAATACAAATGAACATGTGAATACACAGTTACTGCATCGAAAGCACGCATCATCCGTTAAAGAAGTATTGCCAAGCGGCCAAGTAGCTAAATTTGTTAAACATTTAAAATGCCCTCAATGTTTTACCTGCTTCCAATTCCAAATCATATAAAACAATGCATATACAAATATATAATATTAAAGTAAAAATACAAAAATGGAAATTATTAAGCACAATTTATATGTGGCTGTCGCTTCTGCTGTTGCACATTTGCTTTATAAAGCGCACTTTCATATCTGGCTCTAAAAACAAAACAAAAATGTATTTTAAATGTTTGCGTGTTCATGAATAAACAAAACACAAACTAAGAAAAATAACTACAACTTTAGCATACAACAAATACAATAAAATCAATAGCATATGCATTATTATATAACATTGAGTAAAATGAAATTCAAATGCAACAAAATTACTTTTAAACTTAAACAAAATTTATGTTGAATAAAAACAGTATTTCCAAAAACAAAACAAAAGTTTTCGCTCTAATATTAACAATGCTATTTGCAATAGTAAAATAGATTAACTTCCCACCCAAGTAAGATTACCTGAAAATACATTTGAATGACGATCGGTTCAGTCACGGATATACAGATTTATATACATATATAGAAAAATTTTAAAATAGGGCATCCACAGCTAAACTAGACTTCTGTTTAAAAAATGGAAACTGACAGCTTCAATTAATTTACTAAAATTAAAATATTCAAATATACGCTACATATATATCAGGAAAGATATGTCATAATTTATAATGCAGCTGATGATAACCCAAGGGAATACCCATTTAGTATATGGTAAAAGTATTATACCCTGATTTCCCAATTTTAATGGGTCCAGGGTATAAAAGTATCTGATATCTGGAAGCTTCATAGCAATATTGGTATGTAAAACAAAATTGATTTTATGGGACAGATTATATTCGTGTATAACTTAAAGAGATTAGTGTGAAATTTAGTTGGGCTGTCGAAGACTCTTTTTGAACTTCCTGTTCGTCTATAAACATATTGCGCCATCTCTGGATTTTAAGTATACAATCTCAAAAGTAAAGTGAAAATATAAAGCTTGAATTAGAATTAAAATATCATCACATTCAATATGCAAGCGAAACTTAATGTAAATTTTGATTTACCCGGAACGCTTTCCCACACGTCAAAAATAATAAAACAAGTTTAAGTTGTCTGTTTTCAATTTGTTTACTTTAATTGTATATTTTAATGTATGTATATTGTTTTTCATGCAATTTCCGTTTCAAATTCATATTCCCCAAAATTTCAGTTGAGATGTATTTTTTATTTAATATATATTTTTCATCTCTTCAAAATGGTCCGATCAGGCTTGTCTTTAATGTCTTCTCGATGTCTAACTGCTTAAATTGCCTTTGCTATTTATCTAAAAGTTCTGACCAGTGTTTTAAAAATCATTTCTTGCTGACTTTAAAATAAGAGAAATACATTGAATGTGTTTGTTGCTTTTTGTTCTCAGATGTAACTGAAGCATACGATTTTTTCGCACACATATATTATAAAAATGTGTAAATAATTTGTCCAGTTATTAGGTTTTTCATTTTTTTTTTTTTTTTTTTTTTTTTTTGTGAAATTCACTTAAATATTGCTCAAAATGAAATAAATGTAACAATTTTAAGTGCACATTTTGAAATGGAGAAAGTAGTTTTGGAAAACTATTAAACGGTGTACAGTAAATTTCGAATTTTGTGGCTTGGCTCTCTCCTCTCTCTCAATTGCGACGCAGAGTCCATGGGGGTATATATTTTTCTTTAACTTCTAGGAATATCTTCCAAAGGGGAGTGTAGTTCGGTTGGCTGTTGTTAATGCGAAATACATATACATATGGGTATATATATATATTTATATTGATAAACATATATAATGGATGATGGCGGCTCCGTATAGTTGCAAAATTTGTTTTAATGCCGATATAATAGACTGCGCTCTCAATATAATTGTTAGTCGCCTAGTTTCTGCTCATCCTCCGATTCAGATTCTGTAAGATAGTGAAATAAAAATATACACATTAGTTACCTAATAGTTATTAATCTATTCATTTTTGTCCGAACGATTATTGGCCAAATGTAACTATGTTAAGTTATATGGACACCCAATCATTCTTTTGCTCTGGCATACCCTTGAATCAAGTGTTACTCATGGGGAGTATATACTCTGGATCTTTAAAAGGGTATGCACATTTGAATCAAAAGAAAAATATAAATGAATGTTTGTCCGAACGATTATTGGCCGACTTTAACTATGTTTAGTTATGTGGACACCCAATCATTCTTTTGCTCTGGCATATTATACATGGGCTTTTTGCGACTTTGTTTCACTAAAAAGTTGGTAAGGAAATATGCGTAAATAGTTTCAAGTGTCCAGGCTTTCATTGGCCTTCATTGTTTATTGTATTTTAAAAACAACGAGGCAAGCAAAAAACCCAAATGCTATTGCAATTTTGTACAATGAAAGAGCCACGTCAAAAGGCAAAAACATTCTCAAAAATTGCCAAGCTGCATATACATCTAGATACATCATATACATAATGTAATTTTTATATATTTTAGAAACATAATATTCATGTTTTAACAAAATATACCTATATCTATATAATGTACTAACCTTCCTCGGCAGATTGTAGCCATTCAGCGAATTTGCGCATTTGTTCAAGGAAATGCATCTTGCCTTTGTTGGAGTGACCGTCCTTGTACCAGCGCAAGATTATTTCCTCGGACAATACTTCGGTCTTGTAGAACAATAAGATGATCTTTTGGAACGCTTTCATGAAATTCATGTTTTCGTAACAGAATTCTTGCACTTTTAATATCAATGCCAATTCTGAACGATCCGTTGAGGCGAACGCCTGCAACAGTGGACAATATGTTTTTAGATGACGCACTGCTTGATCTGTGACGAGCTCCTCCTTTTTGTTCCATTCTCCCAGTGACATTATTGTGGACCAAATCTAACAATTCGAATGCAATGGGGAATATACAATAATAATTTATACTTATCGATTTCGGTTTTTATCATTTAGCTTACAATAACAATTATCTCATGATCAGGAATGTTGGTACGTAGTGCAAACTCTTTGATGTCTGCAGTTATCTCATTGTGTGCCTTTTCGTCGTTAATATCGTCAATGAGAGTCTGCTGCAGTTCACGTTTGGCCTCTTGGCTAGCTTGCGCTTTATGCAATTTAATGATCTCATTGAGTTCTTTGTCAAGAAAAACTTGTTTAAAATATTCCTCAGTACGTTTATTTGGTGGGAAAAAGTCCATAAGTCTGCAAACAATAATTATAATTTAATTAGCTCTATATGCAAATATAACACAGGTTTTGTTTTGATGATGTGCGGGATTAAATGGGCACCCAAATAAATTAAATAGCTTTATTTGCGAAATGCATTAAATTCCAAGTAAATGCTTTAATCTAGGAATGTTAATTAAAGATTAACAATATATACATGTAGATCTTCCTGAAAACATTCCAAAGTATTTGCCTCTAGTACTTATATACTTACTTGCTTTCCAGTCCACCCTTTTTTAGCGCCTGAATAAGATATGCAATGCCCTTCTCTTGCTTGAACGTCAAGAATAGCTCCAATAAAAACTCGAGTGCAATGCCATCTTTAATCAGATGCTCATTGTTTAGTACCAGCAATACATTAGGTGGTACAGAGCCATTAACTGTAAATCATAATAATATAGAAAAGTCCATTAGTAAACTGACTGTCAACGATTCACAAGATACGGATAATGAAACTGACTGATCTATTCAAAAATATGCTTAAACACGCAAAAGGTGGACGCTGTTTTCACTGCATCTAGATCATATTGTTATCGATTTTGGTTTGTTTATGATATCACACTGTTGATAAATCGGATAAAACAGCTATTTAGATTACTTTTTGGGTGTTTATTATATTAATTTTTGGTGTAAGTAAAACTGCTGTGTATATAACTAAAATGATTGTCCTTGGGCTCGTGGCTTTTGCACTTGGAATTTTTGCATGCAATAGTCAGTATACCAAGAGTAAAATATAATATTAGTCAACTGTGAAACGAGTTTATGATTTGTTTGTTCCGAGAACCCATTTAATATAACTGTTGACTATGATAAATACTACATATAGATATTGTAATTATATGAAATATAGTAACCATGCTTACCTAACCAGAGCGCAGTCATGCGCGCGAGTTTAATACGTTCACTTGGCGTAAAGCCCTTTACGAATAACAAAACTTTACCCATCTCCTCCTCGAACATTTTCTCAAGGTACTTGTACCGTCTAATGAGTTTAACAAACACCTGAAAAGATTATTGTATACATTATTTTAAATTTATGGCATAATTAGATTTGGTTTATAATTTTAACAAAATATTTTTGTCGCAACATTAGAAATCTTTAAAGATCGAGTTTTCCGAATAAATAAAGACAAGTAAAATGTGGCGTTTAATTTTGCATTATTTTGACACCGATTATATTATAAGAAAGCATAACCGGTTCTAATAATATGCGTTTGATGTTTATATTAATCAAGTATAGACATGTGGAGGGTAGATAGAAATATTTGAGATTTAGTTTAATGAAAATTAATATTGAAGTAAACATTTCATTTCCTTCTAGTAGTCGGAAACTTTTCAGACTACTCTCGACTTCTATCGGCTGACTTGTCGCAGCCTTTGAAATGTGTACATTGTATTTTTTTCTATTTAACAAAGTAAAGACAAGTAATATAAGGCACTTCATTTGGCATATATTGACAGCTGCAAGGTCCAATAACCGGTTCTAATTAATATGCAACGCTCCTAGTAATTGGTCTCTACAATATATATTAGATTTACTAACCTGCTCATGGTTGCGCATTGACTCCATATCCTCGGGTGCATCGAATATGCAGTAACTTGTGCGTGGCTTTTCGCCATCCTGAGATATAGAGCCGCCAGGGACTAATAGACCACCCGCAATCAATATATCAAACAGCACTTCACCGTAACGACGATAATCGAGCTTGTTGCCCGCGCTGTCTAGAAACTTTGAGATTTGGTCCAGGTCGCCTTCAGTTTTTTCGAGACCAGCAATGACCGCATCACGGAATCCCGTTGGGTCATATTTTTCTCTTTCATCTGAGCACAAAAGCAAATAATTGCATTTATATTTAAATGAAGCTTAATCTATATGGGACTTACCTCTTTTTCTGGTCTTGATGCGTTGACCCGATAGCACTGGTCTTTCAGTTTTTTGACTCATACAATAAATTGCTGTATATTTGGAATAGAGGTTAAACGAAATATTAAAAAAAAAATTTTTATTTTTTTTTTTATTAAATGTACATACAGTAGTAAATAAACCTATATATATGACGTGATATGCAAGGCTACTAAATTTTGTAAATATGGAAACGATTACACGTTGAATAAAATCGTGTGCCAATGATATATAACCTAAAAAAAAAATTGTTTGCTTGCTTGATCGTGTGTGTGCCCAACGCACTCACACATGCACACTCACAACCAATTCGAATAATCTTTTTACAGTTTGATAAAGCAGAAGAGCGAATGAAAGGCAAATTGCGAGAACTTGACTACAGAAGAGCCGAGCATAGAAGCACCAGAATAAAGTGAAATTTTTAAAAAATATGTATATAAGCGCGTTGACTTTCGTTACTGACGACGCGCGTTTGCCAACGAGGTCAATGAATGTATATGTAATATATAGTCTGTACACACACATCCATTTGTTTTAGCGGTTTTGATTGCCACTTAATTAAACTTACACTTTCACTTAAAGGAAATAAGTTTGCCAAAGATCTTCCGCGTGTACGGTCCTTACTGTATTGTATGTGTAAAATTAGTTATGGGCTAGATGGCACGTGTATGAATATGTAATTGGACTCTTTTCAACACAATTTTTTGCAGAGAAACTTAAAAATTTAACCTCTGAAGTGTTGAACTATAAGAGCAAAAGCAATTATTTGTATTCAATATTTTTCTTAAATTTGCCGTCTTTTTTCTTATAAATTAACTGTAAAATTGACACGCACGCACACAAATACACTCAACAGTTGAGAGAGGGAGAGAGAGAAAGCCGCAGAAATTGCCGATTTTATTTTGTTTAATAATTAACTTTAACAATTTTGTTGCTTTTAAATTCAGTGGTACGTCAAAAATTCTATTTTTAATAAATATCACAATCGACTACTTTATACATACATGTGTATTCTTTTCTGTTGAAGTGTTTTTGACGTACGAGCGCCTCTTCTGCGCACACCACTTTGTTAAACGAAATTCAGAAAGCAAATGACACACACAGTTCGTTGAATGCCGAAGATAACGACACGACAACGACATGTGGTCGGCGCCATTTTGTAGCAATACATTGCCATTCAAAAAACACATATACACGTTCAAGAATGTTCGTGTATTTCGCCTGTGTGAGAATATTAATTTCGAGGTTCTGTTTGTGTGGGTCTGCCTTCTTGCAAATGCTATAATGAACTAGATCTTTAAAGAATGTCGTTGAAAATTACACGTACTCATTCCCAGTGACTGCTTTCTCTTGCGCCATTAAAAATTATGAAAGCGTATTTCATGGCTCTTATTTAATTATGAGGGTACAGTCGCACTTGTACATTTAACAAGCAATGAATATGAATCATCATCGGTTAAATGTATTTCAGGTTTACAACATATTTCACTTGCACTCAATACATACTCATCATAACCTTTCTTACAATCTTTATATAGAGATATACATACAAGCACATTTATGTATATGTATGCGTGGCTACTAAAAGTATTCATATATAGGTGACTACGACTTGAGGTCGTACAAAGCGCATTTCATAAGATTATGAATTTCAGACACCATATTATACTAGTTTTATTATGAATATTCTTTTTAAAATTCGGATTCTGTACTTACGATTAAAACAAAAAAAGCTGTTTTGATGAAAAAATTGAGCTGTTCCGTCCGTGTGCGAGGGTGCGAAAATCACTAATGCAGTGCTGCAAGAGCAGCATAATCAACCCTGCTGTATTTCGATTGCGACGAACTTATCGATGGCAGCAGGTATTCGATACAATCACAAAATCCACGACGAGAAAAATCAGCTGATATTCTGTTTATTGTACTCCTAAAAATGGTAAACATTAATTCAAATTTTAAAAATTTGAAATATATACACTTGCATCAAGTTCTAATAAAATTAAGACCTCTTGAGCAATACTATGACAATAGCACGCTTGAAAACAAGTTAGAGACCCAGAGTGACGTGCAAAAGGTAAATCAGCAAATATGATACATATCAATAACTTTAATATCTTATATACATATGAAAATATTTAAGGTCTGTGAAGGTTTTTGTAAGGCACTTAAAAGAGACTTGAGTTTGGAGGAAGTAACGTCGTTATATTCAGCTGCAATTATGTTGTTACTAGTGAGTGATCCCGAAATACAGAATCGACGTCTTGAGCTATTGAACGACTGCTTAAACTATTCAGATACATTAAAGCCGACAATGATTGACTATATAACTCGGGAATTAATTGAAAACTTTAAATATGCATCTAGCCTCGCGGATAGCAATACAGAATATGACTATATGCTTTATTTCCTATGGGCCATGCCGCATATAATCACAGCAAGCGAGACAGGAAAAATGATATCATTGGGATTGCTGCGATCTTTTATAGCTGAACTGGCAAACCAAACTCCAATTGTGATGCACATTTATAGAAATGTAAGTGCTTTATATAATAGGTACTTATACGATTTTTAATGCGTATAAAATGGAAAGATTTCAGAAATCTGGCAAATGGTAAAAACTATAAATTTGGACACAATTTTGGACGAATGGTCAATACATAAAATTTATGTATTGATAAAGAGCTTCAGTTTAAGTTTGTCAACGGCTGCGCTTAACACCAAAAACTCGGCTTTAAAGCAAGCTGGGTATCGGGGCTTCGAATTGCCTCACGCAGAGATAGAGAATGAGATATCTCAGTGGTTCAAAACGCTTAGAAATAAGCTGAAAGATAAGCATACAGCGGACGGAACGAAGTCCATCTTGATGGTAAGCGAGACCAAAAATTAAAATTTAAAATTAATGAAATCCATTTCTCTTTCAGTTGGTACGCTTCATTGACTACAATATAATAAGCTTTTTAGCAGAAGGAAGTAGTGAAGTCGCTTCAGAGACTGGCAATGAGGCGCCTCTTAAGCGAATAAGCTTTTAGATTGTACAATAGAAATAAAATACAATACATTAGTATATAATAGAATAGTTAGTTTCGTTTTATTTAAAATTTATTTATTCTTTTTGCCGCTTTTTCGCAAAGGTAAATCTTCGACAACCACGGGACTGTTGTAATACTTGGAAGAGATTCGATTGATGAAATATAAGCCCACGAGGGAGAAGAAAATACTGGGAGAAATACAAATATTACTTAAAACTTCAGAAAATGTGTAGATATCAGCTATGACTTACCTGGTTGTGGCACAAACGCGATGAACGACGCCAGCAGCGCTTGCCGTCATTGTTAAGCACAATAGTATTTCGGGTACAAGCTTGGCCTGAAAATCGGCCCCAAATACCAGTGTCTCGGCATTCGACACGCAAGTGAGACTCAAAATAAACATCCAAGAGAACAAGTAGCCACCAAACAGAGTGTTAATTTGGGAAGTGTTAAACCAGTGGGCGTAGAAACGCAACGTTGCAAAAATTACCAAGCTGAGTATGCCTGATATAATGGCTGAGATCAGAGGGCTTTTGGTTGAAATTGACTTTGCTGGAAAGCATATTTATTATTATTTTTTACTTCACCGGCATTTTTACAAAAAACGAAACTTACACATCTTTAAGCTGGGAATTCAATTGTTTCGTCTATTGAAAGGGAGCACCTATCGATTAGCATATGAATATGTGACTTTCAAACATCGATATTTATACTCAATACCGACTTATATCGATAAGACGTAAAAGACCGTCTATTGTAAATAGGAGAATTTGCCTTTATCAATAAAATAGTAAATTAATAGATGGCTTCATTGCTGAGAGCTGCCACCAGTAGTCTTCGGAGTACATTTTCGCAGGCGCGTAGCATTGCAACAAGCCCACCATTGCTAATAAAAGAAAGTAAGTAAAATTCCATGCATACAGTGCGATGTTTCATAACCTTGTTGAGATTTGGCTTGAAACTTAAATATTTTGTATTTTAAGTACACGAGAAATTGGAAAACAATGCACTGGTCTATGAGGGTGTAAATGTGGGGTCGCCACGTTCAGAAAAGATGCTGAAACCAGCCTGCACCTCGAACTTCTGTCCAGAATGTACCCTGGGTCTGGACATTAAACACACTGATGTGCTTATTTTATCACAATACGTCCGATCTGATGGCTGTATGCTGCCCAGGCGGATAACTGGATTGTGCCACAGGCAACAAAAGAAAATGGGGGCGTTAGTTACTATGGCTCAGAAGGCTGGCTTAATGCCTAACCTTAATCCGTCTTGGAGCAAAAAGGATCCAAAGAAGCGGTTTGGATGGCGCAAGTTTAACAAATACTTTATAGAATCAACGATTAAGTACTGAAGTTAATTATAATACCAGAATAAATGTAACTGTTTTCCATTGTAAATGTCGGCATTTTTACATAATTATCGATAATACTAGTTGCCAAATATTTTGGCAATACCAGTGTTTGGTCACATTGATATTGGCATTGGCATTCTTCAAATTATTTTTATTTAACACGGCGCGTTTTTTTAACAATGAACTTTTTAAGTAATAGCAACACGGTGCACGTTGAAGTACGCCTGCACCGATGCGAACAGTAAGTGAAACTATTTGACATAAACTTGTGAAAAAGATAGCTGAGCTTTGTTTCTGTTTTCAGGCGAATGCAAACGCTTCAAGCTGAAATCGAACCGCAGTTAGACGCGTACTTAAAATCGCTAAAGACTTTGCGTTGGAATTTAGCTTTTGATGCGAGTACACACATTCCAGCTATTCAAAGTATACTGCTGGAGAAAGACAATGGCGAAAATGGAATCGTGAAGTTGGACAATAGATTAAAATTCCGCTATCATTATTATATGACGCAGCGCCCGGAGCTACGATCAGGCGGCGGGTTCTTTGATGGCGAAGGCGATGTGAACGCCGATGATTTGGATAGTGTGATTTCTGCCAATCATGTCTTGCTGCCTGCCAGTGAGTTTGTTGGCCTTTGGGATAATTTAATCTACGAGGAAGGACTGAAGGAAAAGGTGTGTTCAGTCAGGCTTATTTACATATATATGGATTTATAATCATACTCATATACATAATTTACTTTCCAGTTGCTTAAGTTCGCTCTGTCCGCCTTAAGTTTCTCGCAACATAATGTGGACTCGAATGTGATTGCTTGTAATAGATTGTTGTTATTGCACGGACCACCCGGCACCGGTAAGACGAGTCTGTGCAAAGCGCTCGCTCAAAAGCTGGCTGTGAGGACGCAAAAGATGTATGCCTATACACACCTTGTGGAGATTAATAGCCACAGCCTGTTTTCTAAGTGGTTCTCGGAAAGTGGCAAATTGGTTGCACGCCTCTTTGGCAAAATAGGTGAACTCGTTGCGGATAAAAATAATTTGGTCTGCGTGCTCATTGATGAGGTGGAGTCCCTGGCATATCAACGCAGTGCGATGAGCAGCAATGAGCCACGTGATGCGATGCGAGTGGTTAATGCGGTGCTTACCCAATTGGATGACATCAAGGCCTGCTCAAATGTGCTCATTTTAGCCACATCGAACTTGGCACATAGCATAGATCTCGCCTTCTTGGATCGTGCAGATATACGTCAGTACATAGGATTGCCGGCTATATCAGCCATTGTTTCTATTTACAAGTCAATGCTAACGGAGCTGATGGTAAGGGGCATTGTGCAAACAGAGCCTTTGGAAAAAGGTCAGGAGGACTCTGAGGATCTAATCAGCAGCCTGGCGGAGCGCAGTGTTGGATTAAGTGGACGCACTCTGCGTAAATTACCGCTTTTGGCACATGCTCAGCATACGAGCCGAGATCTCTTTGAGGTTGATCAGAAGATAACTCTATCGGATTTCCTGGATGCAATGCTGCTATCTTTGGAGCAATTGCTGGCTGAAAAAAGGCACCTAAAGCTAGAGACATATACACAAGAGATGGCATGACAAACACCAAGCTAAACAAACTTCTTATGCCCAAGACAAACACAATAATGTATGATTCCTATTTTCTTACACTACATTTTAATTTACGATGCACGAAGCGTTTCACTTATTCTGCCTGCGATTGCAATCAAGTTCAATCTCAACACTCATATAACTACATGCATAGACTGTTTAAAATTAAAGAATCAAATTATATGTTATTCTTTCTTATTGAAATCGCCACCTCCCTATTAGTGTATTAGTGCAACACAGAGATTCGAAGTCTATAAACTGCTTCGCTATTTTCAACATCTTCTAAGAATAGTATCCTAAAGTATTCCTTGAAAAGAATCATTGCACTGCCCGACAAATCGACAATATTTTGTTTCGTAATTATTATCCATTTATTCGAGAAAAGTTTGCCCTGGAGAAGAGAGTGCTACTGAAATGTTGGCGGTATGTTAAGGTGCTCGGATGTATAGCCACGATTCCAGAGCTTATATGGGAAGTTTTCATTGCGACTATTTAGCTTCAAACTGAATTGGGACTTGCGATACATGAGCATGTTCGCATCGAACTGACGCCGCTCAGCTGCACGTCTGTCATATTTGCAGCGGAGCTTCTTTTTGGATTCTGTGTCTCTGCTGTCTGGGCACTTGGAGTCTGGCGCCGAGAATTGTGGCACGCCCCACAAGTGGTCAGGCTTCTCTTTCTCATTGGTCTGCGACGCCGGAGTTGCCGATTTCGATGCGCTGCTTGAGTTACACATATCGTTGGAGGACCAATCTTTAAGTTGCTTGTTGTATTTGCAGATTAGGTCATTGTACATTCGCAACTTCTCCGGCTTGGCTATATACGGTTGACTTTCACACGAATGGCGTGTGGTTAAGGCGGCGCCAGCGGTTAGACGCGTTGGGGTGCTACCGGTTGATATCCTTTCTTGGGCGATCTCTTGCAAATCATATGCCAGCTGATTCACCCGCTCGTTCAGCTGCACTAAGTGTTCGGTTATTTGGTCAATGGCGTTGCCAAAGTGCTTGTTGCTATCCTGCAGCATCGCCAAGCTCTGGCCGACCACATTGCGAGAGATGAGGTTGGCCACAGTTTCCTTGAGATCATCTATCTTCACGAACTTATTTTCCGGGCTTGACTCAACAGCTTTCGGAGCTAGTAGTCTTAATTCCTCGGATATTTCTCGCACAAAGCTGGGCTTCCTAAAAAGCTGGACCACCTCCCGGCGCAGATGCTTATCAAGTTTTCTATGCTTATCAGACAATTTCTTTACAGTCTTCTCTTCTAGCATATCCCATGTCGACTCGCTGTCCGTTAAGCTAATTTCAGTCATTTTGTATAGAAAATTGTGATTAACAGTCAATTTAGGCATGAAGTTATTTGGAACTCGTATAAAAAGACGTATTCAATAATATGAAAAAATATAATATAAGTATGAATGTGTAATATTCAACGACTACTAAGATACTAATTATATCGGTTGTATTTTATTGTTACTAGTTGGCGGAGCACTGACAGATCCCTCAATGTATAAACGATGTGTACTATTATTATCTGAAAATAGTCTGGAGGGGAAGAAGAGATGTATAATGAGATGCATGTCAATGTAAAAAAAATGGAAAATCGGTTGGGACTCATAGAGGAGGATAGGAGAGATGGAAGGAGCCATAAAATTGGTGGCAAGAAAAGGGACTCGAAGGGAAAGATAATGACAGAGAGAGAGAGAGAGAGAGAGAGAGAGAGAGAGAGAGAGAGAGAGAGAGTAAAAGAGTAAGAAAAACAGGAAGAGCGGGAGAGAGAGAGAGGCTGATTTCGTGGACCTGCGGCATTAATTTCGTTCGAGTTTTCCACAATCTGTTGGAGCACTCGAGTAGGATTATGATAGGAAGAAGTGCGGCCGTTAATTAGTTGTGTGAGTAAATACAATTTCATTTTCTAATACTTAGTACTTAAACGCATTCATACATACATTATGGATTATAAAATAATAGTTAAGTCACCTCTTGGTATAGAGTTCTTTTAAAACGTTTTACATTGGCATATGGGTCTTGGTTTATCTTTACACATTCTCTCTCTCTCTCTCTCTCTCACACACACACACAAATGCAAACAGAATCGTTCGCTCCGGGGTTTTGTTGCAACGAGTATTATTATTGATTTGATTGTTTATGATTGTGTATACTTGAATTTGGAGTACCGTAAAGTATTTGCAGATATTTTATTGCTCGGCTGTGTCTGCCTGTCTGGGGTAGCCGGACAGCATTGCGTATTTGCAGTATCTCGGCTGTGAATCCTTTGCATAAATTGCAAAATAAATGTGGCGTCCAGTTCGATGCAAAACAGTTGAGAATTGAACAACAACAATTGATGGCTACGTTTATTTATGTTTTGAATAGCCTCTGTTTATGTAGCTGGGTGGGATACATGTGTGTTTGTGTGGAATGTGTGTGCTGCTCAGTACTGCAAACTATTGTAAAAATGGACAGATCGACAAACATTAAAGAAAGATGTAGAACTCAATTTAAAATTGTTTTTTTTTTTTTTTTAAGCTTAGGGTGAATTATAAAACGTCCTTCGGATGTCTATACTCCAAAGATTTTCAAGTCAAGGTATTTATGTAACTCTTTGTTTTCATACAGATGGATAGAACTACGGCTCGGAGATTGCTTATTGCTGCCTTATTTAGATTATATTATATTATATAAACATGCCTCATTACAAGTATATCACATCTGCAGCTTTACTTCCTATTTATGTCGTAGTATACAAATTATTTTTTGAGGACATTAAATATAAATGTTCATTAAACAATCATTTTTTTCTCGACGAAATATGTAAAACGTCTAGTTATGTAAAAAAATGTTTAAAAAGGGTTAATAAAAAAGGCTAGATCTTCCCAGAAAACTCTAAAAAATCGTTAAAAGGGCTATATTTCCCAGGAAAAAGTCTAAATAGGCAGCACTGTTGTTTATATTGTGTGTGTATATGTGTTAGTGTGCGTGGGTGAAGCCTCTGTGAGCAGCGTTTTGCGATTGCATTTCAGCAAGATGGAACTGCAAACTCGAATTGCTATTCTTGCAGCAAATGCAGTCGATGCCAAAGCATTTAAAGTGTGTGTTCTTCTCCTCCTTCTATCTTTGTGTAATTGCTCAGTCCTACGGAATTCTACAGTAACAAAATATTTCATGCGGGATTGCGGGATTGTTGTATATGTTTTCTCAGAAATTATTCATACCAATGAACTTTTCATAGACATTAATGAATAATATCTTATATACGAGATGAAGGTATGCGAATTCAAGAGAAATTAAAATATGTATTGAACATTGTTACTAAATATTGCAACTTTACATAAACTGAAATATGTATTTATATTTGGTGAGTTTAAATTTAGATCGTTCAATTTCAGGCCACGAAAACAAATGTTCTAACCTCAATTCAAACATAATTATTAAAATAAATAAAATTAAAAGGTATTAAATTAATTAATAGCTGCTTATATAAATGAAAAGCTAGTACGAATAAAGCAGTTTCTAGTTTCAATAGAATGGCAGACATATAATGTGGTTTGCATCTTTCTCTCAATATTATCTAATGTACAAGAA